GTGTGTGTATGTGTGTGCGTGTGTGTGTGTGTGTGTGTGTGTGTGTACCTCAGCTGTCCAAAGGCAGAGCTGTTGTACCTCCACTTGGAGGAGTTCTGCAGATCCTCGCTCAGCGCATTGGTCAGAGGGGTAAAAGCTGGGTCCAGATATTTCATGGCCAGCTGGGAGCTAGGCAGAGCAGGAATTGATATCCAGGTTAACACAGCCTTCTAGTTTCAGGAGTGAGACAGCCTCCTCCAGTCCCATTTCAAAACATGTTTTAAGAAGCATTTCAGCTCTTCTAACCACAAATTTCAGAGGAAAAAACATTGATCAGCTTTCAACATTAGCAAGAGAAACTTGATGGGAGACAGAGACAAATAGAAGCAGTCAGGTAGACAGACAGGTTGTTCACAGCAGATTTTAAAGCTCCGTCATTTGCTGGTTAGAGTTGCACACAGAAAAAATTACCGAGCCATGCCAGAAACTAGTTTGAGTAAGTAATTTTACATTGAATTAATAAATAAGCAAAGAACAGAGTTAGTCCAGCCTAATGAGATTTTTGATTTAACAATAGACTGAATATAAACAGAAAACATGGTAAATAAGTGATAGCTTGGTTACCATACATATAAACAGAATGATTTCAGCATACATGCTACCTTTTATTCAAACTTATTTAGTCCTGAATTAGAAAATTGTTTCAGAAAATATGGTAAATTAAAACTATAGAAACATCAAATCCTATGTACAACGCTAAAAAACTGTGTGCACTCAAGTTGAAAAAATATGAACAGTTTAAGGTTTGGAAACTGATGGATATCTGAAATACACAGTGAGAAAAGATAATACCATTCTATTTGATTTTCTTGTATTACCTGTCTGATCATTTGCCTGCATTTGTTGATGTGTCAGACCTACAGTGATGCTGGGCCAAAGCTTAATGTTGACTCGCATTCATGAGTTGTAATATGGAACCATATTACAAGACTTTTTTTTTAAAAGTATCGGCCATTCCAAAAAGCTAGAATTTCCTCAAAGAAACATGCAAAGATAGTAAAAGCCGTTTTGCAGATCCATTCCTTTGCTTCAAAAAGCCATCTGAAGTGGAAAATAAACTTAATTCAGACTATTTTCCGGACATAAATGCAAAGTCTTTCTCCTGGATGCAAAGGGATGTAGTTTACTCAGAGGACAAATCATTTGAGAGTTGTAATAAGGAATTAGCAACAGGTCCATCTTTGTGGATGTCACTTTTTATTCCAAATAGCCCCTGAAAGCGCTATGGTCCAGCCAAATATTTAGACAAAGTATATATGGATTGCCGCTTTATCTGACACATTAAACTGAAAGTGACGATCCAATTTATGAGGAACTCCGGTTTATTTGGGAGCCAGCTCGTTAACTGGCACTAAACTGAGCTAGCTAACAGAACATCAATATGTGAGGATCTCAGGAGTAGACTGTGCTGTAGTAAAAAAAGAGTGGGCCGGATGTTATGTGCAGCACTTAGGGCTGATCTTGCATGAATCAGAAAAGATGAAGACAGACTGCATCAGTGTGTCTGGTGGGGGCGGACCTCTGAGGCTAAAGCATCATCCACCTTCATAAATAGACCAATAAAGCCAGATTGACACAGTGTTAAATCTGGATTAGCATGAAATATTAAAAAATGAGCACAAAATAGTAGGAATCTCACTTTGTATCAGAAACCATCACCATCACCATTTAGTGTTTTAGTTCTTAAGCTTCTGGGAAAATATTACTTAGATTATTTCAATAACCCAAATTTTTCAGATCACTCTTTACAGTAATAGGCCTGTACTAGGGTTAGGGGCTTGATTCAACAGCCAAATGATGAGACACCTGTGGTGAGACGTATTCTTTCCACAAAATGAGATTTTTCTTTATTTTTTTAATAAATATCAGATTAGAAAGAACAGTGCAACGGCAAACTCAGTGTTTTAGACTCAACGTCGCTTTGTGATACAGACAAGTGGCTGCAGGTATCAGCGAAGCCAAACAGAGGGGAAGCAAAGAAGCTGCTGATTTTAGAACGATTAAATTAGATAGATAGATAGATAGATAGATAGATAGATAGATAGATAGATAG